GGGACAGGACACGATGAGATGCAGTGGGGTGGGATGGGATTAGGATGGGATGGGATGGGATGCAGTGGGATGGGATGGGATGGGATGCAGTGGGATGGGATGGGATGAGACAGGGTAGGATGGGACAGGGCAGGATGGGATAAGATGGGATGGGATGGGCAGAGCACGGTCCCCCCCAGGCAGGCAGACAGGACCCACTGGCTGGGGGCGAGCAGGGCTGGGGGTCACTCACATCCCGCCTTTGACGCGCACCGACAGCACGTGGTTGTTGAAGCCCTCTGCCTGCAGGCTCCGCACTTCGCTGTTCAGCTCGATCTCCTTCCCCTCAAAACACTCCAGCCCGTGCAAGAAGATGGAGGGCTCCGAGAAAAACTGTGGGGTGGGAAAAGAGGCGTGAGGGGGACAAGCAGGAGGAGTGAGCACCCATGGGTGCAGAATGGCTCCAAGGCTGGAGAGCCAGCACCAGGGGTACCCGCAGGAGAGGAAAAAAGGGGTTCCTGGGGAATTTCTGCCCCAGTGCTGGTGGCACTCACCACTGGGACCTTCTTCAAGGAGCGGATGGTGGTGGAGGAGAGGCAGCCCATGGCGCTGAGCGTGGGGTACTCGCCCTCGGAGAGCACGTGCTGGTCCCCCGCAAAGTCCTGCCCGTCGAACAGGATCCAGCTGGCAGGGAGGAGCGTGCCCGGGCTGACCATCGTGGTGGGCATCCATCCCTCTTGCAGCATCCCCGTCCTGCCCACCCTCCTGGGGGAGCCCCCATGGGGGGGCCTGCAGGGCTGCTGGCCAGGATGATGTCCCTGTTCCTGTCCCCATTCCCATCCCAGCCAGAGGCAGAGAGGCCTTGGGACACCCTACCTGCCCCCCCGGACTCTGCAGGAGCGTGGGATGAAGGCATCAGGCAGGGCATCCTGGTCCTCCTCGAAGGCGACGTGGTCCCCCAAGAAATCAGGCTCTGAGAAGAGCAGGATCTGGGGAGGGGGAGCGGAGGGGCTCGGTGAGGGGGGTGAAGCATCACCAGCACCCCACAAGCGACCACATCCCCCGGGGGGGGCACATCCCCCTCCCCATCTGCCACCCC